TTTTTGTGAATTTTAAATTGATAATGTTTTCATATTTTGATGAAATCAAAGACTAGAAGTCTTTGGCAGATTTTGATGTATTTTTATACAACCAATAAATAAATAGATAAATATTGTTGACATCTGGGATAAGACTGAGAGCAAATGGCTCATCCAAGCTAACCACTGAGTTCATACAGAGTGAAAATTCCTTCAGTGTTTCCTTTGTTTCTTTTCTATTAGACTGTACCTGCACTTCTACTAACAAAGTCAATTTTGAGGAATACTGAAAATACTGTTTTGTACTTTTTCATATAGGAAAATCCTGAGGTCTGGTTTGTGCGACCCCTTCCACCTGTATTGTTGAATATATTAGCCATGGAAACAGTGTATCTCCTCCCTCTCCGTTTGCTGCTGCTTGGTGAAATTATGTCTGATTTAACAGCATTAGTGGATAGTTACTTGAATGCATTTCGGCAAGGATCTGCAGACCCCCTGGGGAGCATCAAGGTAGGTACCATCTCAATTGTACACTATTGGGTAGGACCATCTAATTTATTAATGCTATTAGCTATTAAATACTAAAGTACTTTATTGGCACTGAATCCTGCATTAATGAAGTTTTGTCATTTTGTTTTAATTATGTGGAAGAACTGCAGTTGCAAAACTTCACTACATGCTTAACATTTTATTGAGAAGACGCAAAATATTGAGTTGGATGTTAATATTCATATTAATTCAGAATTTTCATACAACAGAACATGTCTATTAAAAATGATTCATTCTTCCTACTATATATTTAATTATGAAAAGTATTTGTTTTATCTATATTTCTTATTTTATTATATATCTTGCTTTCTAGGGCATTAGCAAAAGAGCAAGTTCATTAACATTAAATAAAATGTAATAGTAAGTTAAATCAATCAAAATTGATGCCAAATAAGATTAATATCTAAAATATCAAATACAACTGGAAGTATTAACAAGTGTTCATCTCATATCAAAATAATAGTAGTATTGGAACAGCTACAACACCAGTTTTTAGGACAGGACAGGACAGAACAGAACAGAATAGAATAAGCTTTATTGGCCAAATGTGAATGGACACACAAGGAATTTGCCTCCAGTGCATAAGCTTTCAGCGTACATGCAAGCAACAAGTGATATTTTAATATATCTAATGATCACTGGCTTAATATTTTGGGAAATATTTGTGAATTTCATATTGAAAATAGGCAATACTCAATGTGGACAAAGGATTCAAAACAGGTAGTCTGCAAGCAGCTGCAGCTTTGAACTTTGCTTATTATATGTGCATCCATGCAAACCTCATTTTAATGCTGGGATGAAAAGCCTGGCTGTGTGTGGCCAATAATCAAAGAACAGAGCTGATTTAATGCTTTGAAAATAGGGCTTTAAACAAACTTTGCCAATTACCTTGGTCAAATACCTTGCACAGCCCTTATAAAATCCCCTCAAACATATTAATATTCTTCAAACATTATAGAAAATATAAACATTTTTGCTTAAAGAAATGAGGGAACTTCTGAATTCAGTGGAAAGTGCTGTATTCTTCATATTTACCTCATTCATAGATACGACACATAGTACTTCAAAGAAATAATGACAATCAAGTGCTGCTCTCATCTCTTTGTGTTCCTGTGTTAATCAGATGTCTTCTATGAACTTACCAGAAGAGCTACGGCAACTGGCAGATCTTTATAACATCCGAAGACAAACTGCAGTGCAAAAGTTCCAGCTGAGTGAGGAAGGTTTCCTTATCAGAAAACAAGTGGAGGCAATAAGAAGAAAAAAGGCAGAGTGAACAATATCCTAAAACAATACTGTCCGGGTTCTAATACCCAGGGCAATCATAAAAAAAGAAGAGATATATAACCATGTTAACCCAAAGCCTATAGTTGGCAATGGTGAGATAGACTCTAAAATGGAAAGGGGACATTTCATGTAAACTGACATTGAAAGAGGCTAAAATGAAGGGGAAAATAACCACAAAGAAAGTTTTTCTCCAGAAAAAAAATGAGACAGATTTTGAAAGATAAAAACATGAATAAATAAACTATGCCCAGCTTTTTAGCTCAAAAATGAACAATACACCTGAATTCTCATAAGTTTCCAAATAATCAGAAAGATTGTCCAAGACTAAACAATTGCATGATAGGAAAAGGCTTTCAGTCTTGTTTATAGATTAGTTTTTTGTTAATTTTATATAATTGAAAATGTATTTACTAAATACTATCAGCTTAGGATAACTATTTTATTTACACAGGGTAGGCATGGATAACTGTAGTTTGTAATTTTTCTAATAAGTTATCTATGCCGTCATTTTGTTCTGGATAGTTATTATTAATGTGAACAGTAACTCAAGTATGGAATATGTGATCCAAGCTTAAAAAAAAAGGCTTATAATCGTGTAATTGGATGGGTGGAGGGTTGCTTAAGATTGTGGGTTCTTAATGTTGTAAGGCACCCAATAACCATGTGTGAGCTGGGCAGCTATATACATTTCTTTAATAAATAAAAAATATAGTACCACTGTAGCAGATTTAAAAATAGGCCAGCTATTGCCTGAGATGTACTTGAGCAAGTGCAGATTTATTAATTTGATGGTATGATTTAAAATGGGTCCCCAACCCCCAGTCCGTGGACCGGTACCGGGCCGCAGCATGCCAGCAACCAGTCTGCACAAACAAGCAAAGCCCCATCCACGGGATGCAGGCAGCACACAAAACCACGCACTCTTCGGTCTGTGGAAAAAACTGTCTCCATGGATTCAGTCCATGTGCCCAAAAGGTTGAGGACCTCTGATTTAAAAAACAAATGCAGTACTCTTTCTATTTTCCGTATATAATTTTTATTAAAACTTTTAAACACAAAAATAAAAACCAACACAAACATATAATATAAGAAAGTTTAAGAAAGGGGGGGAGAAATCAGACAAAAAACAAAAAGTACAAGAAAACAAAAGAAAAAAATGGAAAAGAATATAAAAGAAAAATATATAAAGAAATGGCTTCTAATATTCTTCACAGCAGTTGTAAGTACAGATACATTTAACCTCTCTATATAAAGTTACTTATTTATTTTAGATAATTTATATAGCTGCCTACTCACTCACAGCAACTCTAGATGACTTACAGACAATAAAAACACAATGCAGCAAAAAATAAATAATAAAATAATAATAAAATAACCCCTCCATCCCACTTGGTGACAACACACACTCAAATCAGCCATTTAATGGGCTCCGTCCCACTCAGATCTACTGGCAAAACCACATCTCCAGGGCTTTACAAAAGAGTCTCGGGGGGGGGGGGCGTCTAATTTCTGGAGGGATAATGTTCCAGAAGGAGGGAGCCACCATGAAGAAGGCCCTTCTTCTGGGTCCCACCAGATGTACCCCCTTAGGGGACGGGACCCACAACATTCCTTGCCTCCCCGCTCTAGTGCATTGGGTGGATGTGACCAGCAAGAGACAGTCCCTCAGATAACCTGGTCCCAAGCCATAAGGGCTTTAAAGATGACAACCAGCACCTTGAATTGCACCAAGAAGCAAATCTGCAACCAATGCAGCTCCCATAAGAGAGGTGACACGTGTACACTGAGGTCTGCACAAAACTATGCAGGCTGCTACATTTTGAACTAACTGGATGCTTCTCAAGGGCAGCCCCATGTAGAGCGCATTGCAATAATCAAGATGGGAGGTGACTAGGGCATGAGTGACTGTGAGTAGGGATTGTTGGTCCAGAAAACGGCATAACTGGCAGTTGTGCAAAGTCTTCCTGGGCATGGCATGACTGCCACATGCTCTTTGAGCAGGAGTTGCGAGTCCAGGAGAATCCCCAGATAACGCACAGAGTCTGTTTGGGGCAGTACCACCCCATCCAAGACCCAAGGTGGCAATTCTCCGTGGGCCAAAGAACACCAAACTCAGAGCCACTCGGTCTTGCCAGGGTTCAGTTTCAACCTGTTGCTCTCCATCCAACCCCGAACAGCCTCCAGGCACTGTGAGAGGAAGGTCACAGCCTTGCTTAACTCACTACAGGCTGAGCCATACAGCTGAGTATCATCAACATATTGATGATCTCACCCAACGGCTTTATGTCGATGTTAAATAGAACCGGAGAGTCCTGAGTCCTGCGGGATCCTGCACAGCAGTGCGCGAGGGCTAGACCTCTCGCTTCCTATTAACGCCGACTGAGAGGCCACAAGTGAACCAGAATAGCATGAAGCCCCCCACTCCCAACCGCCAAAGCTGCTCCGGAAGGATACCATGTTCCATGGCATTGAAAGCTGCCGAGGGGTCAAGGAGAGCAAGGGTGGCTGCACTAACCCCATCCTGCTCCTGCCACAGATCATCAAAACGTCAATAGGTCCAGCTGCTGACAAGGGCCGGGTCAGCTCTGCCTCCCTCATACCATGCCATCTTTCAGAGCTGCAGCTGCTGGCTCTTGGGCTCTCAGGCCAGGGATTAGCTCCAACTGATCACAGCACACAGAAGGCAGCTCACTGAGATCCGGGGGAAACCTAGGAGAGTCCAGGAGAATTCAGGGAAGCCACACAGTCATAAATCATCCACTCCTCTCTGTCCTGACCTCTCCAGTCTTCACAGACTCTTGGCCTTTCTACTTCTCCGTTTCTCCACCAAATCTCCAGCCTCTCATCAAATGTATCGTGCCTGTCTTCCTCTTGCCTTTCTCTAACCAGTGTTTCTCAACCTTGACAATTTTAAGGCATGTGGACTTCAACTCCCAGAATTCCACAGCCAGCAATGCTGGCTGTGGAATTCTGGGAGTTGAAGTCCACATGCCTTAAAATTGTCAAGGTTGAGAAACACTGCAAACACTCCTCCGCTTCCACATACCAATCTCAACATCCCAAAAACTGTCCAGCACCCTCTCTGCAAAACTTTTCAAAGCTCCATCAAAAACACACAGAGATGCTGTCGCCATTTTTTTTAAAAAAAAGTTACATCGTATTGCTCTTCTTTCTAGAATCTGTTCTAATTTTTTTTAAAAAAAAAAACCATTGCATTCATTCCAACAGTTGGGATGTTCTGTTTAAAATAAAACTTTTGATTTGTTAAAATATTTGTGTAGAATGGATGTAGTAATAAAATTGCTGATTTCCAAGGGAAGTAGTGCAATGGATCTATGTGTTATTGTGTGTGTGAGTGAATATAGTTCAGGAATTATAATTTTAGAGGTGGTAAAGTAGGAGCTAGCACTCATCTTTTAAATGGGCAGCGTGTCCATTTTATGCACATCTTGCAGACAAACATATCCCCAAATATAATGTTCATTACAGAGACTCTTAAGATTTCAGCTTTAGGAAATCTAAATCTTCAAGCTATCTTTTATACTTTAAGAAAGAAGGTAAGTAAACACTTATCTTTTTTTGCCCGAATTGTTGGTCTGTTTATATGGTATATGTGCTAATGTTGCACATGAGTAGAAAATATAAAATGACTGATATAGTGCTAGATGTTGCCTTCCCCCACTCCTGGTGCCACACAACATGCTACTGAGGAAGTGCTGAGTATCTTTTGGAGTACTAATACTATGGCTATCTGATTGCAGATGTTACTATGCAGGAAAAGAAAATCTCAAACGGCAAAGAATTACAGTGGGAACATGGAATGTAAAAACATGAACATGTACAAATTAATACCTTAGGTATGTGCAAATTGAAATGGATTGAAATTGGACACTTTTAGTAGAAGACCATATTCTTCAGGACGTAAAAAACAAAGAATGTCTTCTTTATTTATTTTTTATGTTATTATTAAATTTGTTTGCCCATCTCGCAACAAGGTGACTCTGGGCAGCTTACAATATTAAAAGCAATAAAACCACACAAACATATACCCACTATAACAATAAAAATACAAACTATAACTAAAAGATGGTGAGAGAGGGAGCAGGATGTGCAAGGGATCTGCTATTGGTCCATCAACCACCTCCAGTATGAAACTCCCCCATTGAGACCCCAAGCCAAGCCACGTTTTCAGATCCTGAAAGGAGGATGGGAGCAGACCTCACGTACGGCGGGGGGGGGGGCAAGATGTTCCAAAGGGCAAGAGCAGAGAAGGCTCTTCTCTTGGATCTTGCCAGGGAATTCCCTGACCAACAGGGTCCCCAGTATGCGTCCTCTGCCAGCACAGGTAAGGCGGGCCAGTCCCATTGGGATAAGACAGTTCCTCAAGTAACTGGACCCATTAAAAATGATAACCAACACCTTGAATTGCACCTGGAAGCAAATCAGCAGCCAGTGCACCTTGCAGAGCAGCAATGCATCATGGACCACTCTAGTGGCTCCAAAACTGCTCACACCACCGGACTCTGCACCAGTTGTAGTTTCTGAATGTTCTTTGAGGATAGCCCTGTGTAGAGTATATTGTAGTAGTCCAGGCATGAAATGACTAGGGCTTGAATGACTGAGCCCAAGGACTCCTGATCCAGGAAAAGCCACAACTGCCACACAGCTCAGAGTTGTACAAAGCCTCTCCTAGGTGCGGCTGCCACCTGCTCTTCAAGCAAGAATCGCAAGTCCAGGACAATCCCCAAGATGCAGACTGGGTCTGTCTGGGATAGTGCCAACCCCATCCAGAACTAAGGATATCAATGTCCCAGATCTTGAAGCTCCATGCATTCAAAGTCATTTGGTCTTGCCAGGGTTCAGACAGTGGGGTACCACAAGATTCTGTCTTAGGCCCAGTACTCTTCAACATGTTCATAAACAATTTAGATGAAGAGTTAGAAAGGAAACTCATTAAATTTGCAGACAACACAAAGCTGGGGGGAATAGCAACACTTTACAGTATAAGCTCAAGATCCAGAAGGATCTTGACACACTTGAACACTGGGCCCTAGCCAACAAAATGCAATTTAGTGGTGAGAAAAGTAAGGTTTTACATTTAGGCAAGAAATAGCAAATGCACAGGTATAGCAAAGGTGCTACCTGACTCAACAGCAATAACTGTGAGAGGGAACTCACAACCACTTTTAAGTATGAGCCAACAATGTGCTCCAGCTGCCAAAAAGGCCAAAGCAGTCTTCAGCTGCATAGAGGGATAGTATCAAGATCGTGTGAAGTGTTATTACTACTTTATACAGCCTTGGTAAGACCACAACCTGCTGCTTAGTAAGCTAGAAAAAGGTGGGATAGACAACATCACCACCAGATGGATCTGTAGCTGGCTGATAAACTGTACTCAACGAGTAGTCCTCAATGGTACTACATCCACATGGAGAGAGGCCCAGGACTCTTTAATATCTTCATAAATGACTTAGAGGGAATTGAAGGGGAACTCATCAAATTCACAGATGACACTAAACTGGCAGGAATAGCCAACACCCCAGAAGACAAGCTCAGGATCCAAAAAGATCTTACAAACTTGAACAATGGGCCCTATCCAACAAAATTAGTTTTAATGTGGAGAAAAGCAAAGTTTTACACTTAGGCAGGAAAAATCAAAGATATAAGTACAGATTAGGTGAGACCTGGCTCAAAAACAGCAACTGTGAGAGGGACCTTGGAGTCCTAGTGGACGATCACTTGACTATGAGCCAGCAGTGTGCAGCAGCAGCCAAAAAAGCTAATACAATCCTGAGTTGTATAAACAGAGGCATAGAATCAAGATCACAAAAAGTATTAGTACTGCTTTATAAAACCCTAGTGAGACCATACCTGGAATACTGCTACCAGTTTTGGTCATCATACTACAAAAAAGATGTTGAGACCTTGGAAAAAGATCAGAGAAGAGCAACTAAGATGATCAAAGGCCTGGAGACTAAAACATGAAGAACGGCTGCAGGACTTGGGTTTGGCTAGTCTAAAGAAAAGAAGAAATAGGGGTGATATGATAGCAGTATTCCAAAGCACCAGAGGGCAAGACAAGAAACAATGGTTGGAAACTGATCAAAGAGAGAAGCAACCTGGAATTAAGGAGAAACTTCCTAACAATGAAGACAACCAGTGGAACAGCTTGCCTTCAGAAATCATGGGCGCTCCATCACTGGAGATCTTTAAGAAGAGACTGGACACCCACTTGTCTGAAATGGTATAGGTTTTCCTGCTTGTGCAGGGGGATGTACTAGAAGACCTCCAAGGTCCCTTCCAGATTCTTTTCTATTTCTATTCTTCTATTTCTATTTCTATTCTTCTATTTTTATTTCTATTTCTTATTCTATTCTATTTCCTATTATATTCTATTTCCTATTCTATTTCTATTCTATTTCCTATTCTATATTCTATTCTATTCTATTCTATTGGAATAGTGTTCAGTTTTGATCACAATACAAAAAAATGACTCTAGAAGGAGTGCAGAGAAGAGTAATAAACATTAGGCAACTGGAGGCTAAAGCATATGATGAACAGTTGCAAGAACTGGGTATGTCTAATGTTATAAAGAACTAGGGGTGACATGATAACAGTGTTCCAATATTTGAGGGGTTGCCACAAAGAAGAGGGAGTCAACCTATTCTCCAAAGCACCTGAGGGCAGGACAAGAGGTAACAGATGGAAGGTTATTAAGGAGAGATCCAACCTAGAACTAAGGAGAAATTTTCTGTCAGTGAGCATAATCAATCAGCGGACCGGCTTGCCTCTGGAAGTTGTTGGTGCTCTGTCCTGAGTTTTTAAAGAAGAGATTGGACAACCATTAGTCCTGAATGGTATAGGGTCTCCTGCTTAAGCAGGGGGTTGGACTAAAAGATCTCCGGTGTCCCTTCCAACTCTTATTCTGTAATTCATTAAAACGTTTGAAAAGTAGAAGGAAGACCATCAGCATCAAGGCAGATAAATTTGATTATAAAGGGAAAGGTGGCACTTTTGGAAGACCCAAAGGCCCCATTTGAAGACCAAGCATCATGGAGGTCTACCTACTGACATCAATTTTATAGCACATCAGTAATTTGGGATTTATTCATGTCATTCCTGTAATGATATACCCCTTATTAGTGCCAAGAAATATAATGACACATCCAAGGCAAAACCAGATAGCCAATTTGGTACTAGGCTAGAAATTGGAATATTTTGAGGTCTTAGTCCACCTCCCACATGAAGCCAGCTAGGTGACTTTACTCCAGTCACTTTGTCTCAGTCCAGAAAAGGCAATGGCAAATCACTTCTGAAAATGTTAACCAGAAAGTTGAGGGGCTTATTTAAGCAGATGCCAATAGTCAAGGCTGACTTGAACACATCTCCATCTCAAAAAAAATATCCCCCAAGCTACTTTAGAGTCTCCAGGGGTATCCTTACAATGAAAATAATATTGTAGTTTTCACCAATTCCCAAAAATAATAATCTCAATACTGAACTGGAACAAACGCTGTTAGAAAAAAAAAATAAATTTAAAGCATGTCAGGTATGTTTTCTGACACAGCTAAGTTTTAAAATAGCCATCTACAGCCATTGGCAAGCGACAATGCTGGGGGGGAAAGCCCAATTATCTGGAAGAGTGGGTTTTTGAAGGTGTTCATAAATCTATTGTGCCCATAATTTGAGACCTAACAATCCTAATCAAAGTTGAGGCCTACCTAGGCCCACAACTACTTTTTATGTCTAGCTGAGATTAGTAGAAACAATACGTCACTTCCAGGGAGGTCCCGTTGGAATACCAGTCTCGCGACTCTTTATTTGAGCTTCGCGCGAGAATTGCTAACTCACGCTAGTTTCTGGGAGCCGAAAGCACTCGGCAATTTCCGTCACTCTCAGACTCAACCAATCGAGTGATAAACGAATCGTTTCTGGATTACTTCTTTTGGGTTCTGTACGGGGACTGAACACGGGAAATGAACTTAAGGTCCGCATGAAAGTTGCGGCGAAGCCCATTGGGGGAATGTTTGTGTGTCTGGGCTCGGAGCACTAGCTGCGGGTGCCGCTTTCGATTATTCTGGCCTGGCTATGGCGCCTCTCCTCCCCCCCGCCATGGCTCCCCGTGTCCCTGCTCCTCTCCTCTCAGTGAGCGAAAGTGGCCGCCGCCGCCGTCCCAGCGCCCGCAGCCGCCGCCTCCTTCTCAGCAGCAATAGCGCGGCCGCCATCTTGTCGAAGCAGAAGTCTAGGGCGCCGCGGCAGGACACAGGCAGCGCCAACGCAGCACGGGGCGAGAGGCCGGGAAGGGAAAGCGGGGCGGACAACTCAGGAGCTACTCTCGGCCTAAGCCGAGCTACGCACGCAGGTGAGACGCCGTGATTCGCGGGCCGGGGCAGGTGGCAGCAAAGCAGGGACCCGTTAGACCAGGCCGCGGGATCAGCCCCCGTCCCACCGCCCCTTCGCAGTCCCCCACCAGTAGCCCCGGCAGCCGGGCCTACTCTTAAAGGGACAGGATGTTTCCTTCGGGGGGGGCGCAAGTGGGGAGGGTGCTGTACTCCAGGGGTCTCCCCTTTCCCACCAAAGGCTTCAGAAGGGCGAGGGAGATTCCTCAGGCGATGCCTCGCTGCCTTCTGGCCTCGGGCAGCATGCGGTGTGTGTGTGTGTCTGTGTGTGTCTGTGTCTTGGTCACACCCAGTCCACGGTCACACGTGCGCACCTCGCTTGCTCAGTGCCTGGCAGTAGAAAACGAAGAAGCCGCCCGGCTTCATGAAGTGTCCTCTGAGATACAGGATTTCTAGTTGTGGGAATACTTGGCAGAGATTCATGTTGGTATGTTGAATGAATCTGAGATCCAGGTATAGCCGTTTATCAAGGATAATAACATCGAAGAGCAGTGAGCACGGAGTGTCAATTTGCATCTATGTCGTCTTAATCAGAAAAATCTATACGTATTTATATATATTAATCAGGATACATTTTTAAAAATGCTTCGTGGAATATATCACACGAATAGATGGTGCTTTAGTGGCTTTTGGCATTGATTATTATGCAAAATGTCTAAATGTTTTTTTGCAAGCTAATAGATATTAATTGCTGGCAATTTTGCCTCTGAATTATAATTGACATTGTATCATTTATAATTAAGTATACGAATTTACCAAACACTGCAGTGTAACATACAGCACAGTAGAAGTGATCACTTTTTTTAACCCCTTATTGCATGCATGGTCTACATATCAGATAAATTTCTTGTGGTAAGTTGATGTGTAGGACTTGAGTGTTTCTGATCTTTAAACAAATTTGAATTGAAACTGTGGAATGTAAAGTAGAATTAGTAAAAGCTGCACTTGAGAAATTATTTGAAAAAGGTGATTCAGAATGCCTGAAGTGCAAACTCAGCACTGTGATCTCAAAAAAAGATGTGGTTGCATCATAGAATTACAGAAAGGTACTCAAGTTTTTGTTCCCATGTTTTCTGAAGCACATTTTCTGAATTGTTTCCCAAGTCTTCCACAAACCTAATAAAGTGTTTATTTGCTTTAATAAAATCCTTCATAATATTAAATCAATTTTATTTTGATTAAGCACTGAAACACACCTTATTCAGTGATGTTGAATTAGAAATGTTGTTTGGGATGTGATGTTTTGTATGATAATAAAAAATCTATGAGAAAGACGTATTTATCTCCAGAGTGTTATTCCTTAGCTAGATATTCTTCTACATGATTGACATGTACTATTGGTCACATATCAATGCATATTCATTTATTTTTATTTGTTTGATTATTTATATCCTGTCTATTATTTTTAGAAATAAGTCAAGGCGGCGAACACATCCAATATACTTTCCTCCTATTTTTGCAAGAAAACATACCAAACATTTGTGATTATGTCTAACTGACAGAACACTGGTGTTTTTTCTTCAAAACTGAATGGCTTTTGCAATACTGAAAAGGAAATGCATTAATTCATTATTATGCTTGTAACCTTTCCAGTTACATATTAGGGTTTTTGTTGAGTTATTCCTTGTTCAAATATGCTGTTTTGCCTTTTAATTTTTTTTGAATACAGGATGTATGAAAGCACAAAGAAAAAGAGTTTTTGTCAGAAATCCTCGTATACCACCGAGAGTCACCCATAGGAGATAGGGTGCCTTATAAATGATAAAACTTAATTTCTGAACTCATGATTAAATGTGAAAGAAATTGAGCTGTATTTGAAAATGCATCAAATAAAAATTCTCTGCCATGAAAGAGAATTTGGCTTTTTACAAATAGAGCTCCAATTTTTTGAAATTCATGAAATTAAGAAAAACAAAAGGATCTAAAATGTAGAAATGCCAGCATTTCATATGCAGAAAATAAGAGTGATGATACAACTTTCCTTGTTGCAGAATGTGTTTTTAGAAGATTTGTCCCTGTATCCTAGCTCAGTATTCTAAAATTAATGTATTTCATGCAGAGGAAGAAAATATCCACTTTCATATCCACTTTCTTTCTTTGTTTTATTATAACATTGATGAACTTTTGTTTGCATTTTAACTTTGTCTGCCTGCTTCTATTAAACATCCAAAAATAAAAAAGATGGCATATTCCTTAGAATTCAGCAATCATGCATATATTTTCATTTCTCCTAAATTTTTGGTTTCTTTCTCCAAATACCTTCCTTTAGCAATATTCATATTTCTGGAAATTTTAAAGATCCATAATTGAACACAATTGAATGCATTTCTGATTATGAATTAGGGTAGGAATTAGATGCTTTGCAGCATGTTCTTTGTTCAGGCTTGCAGTTTTCCTTTCCTGAACCTGTGCTAGAATTCAGTAAAAAGTCACATGATCTTCCAAATAATATTTTTATAGAAATTCTGTCAAAGCATTACAAGCTTTTGGATATTTTAGATATGGTGCTGACTGTAAATACAGGATGGTAACATGGCCTGCCATGATATGTGAATGCCACCCAAAATATAGGTTGTACAGATAGTTTATGGTTCAGCATATTGCGTAGTCATGTTTTATGCTAATATGTTGTACCAACACCATTCATGATTCATGATTTAGCATATCATAAGAAAGTTGAAAATTGAGTTCCCTGAATGAAGTATGATTGAGGTTTCTATGTATATAACCCTAGTGTAGCTAAACATACAAATGGCCGTATGCTGCTATGGGCCATTGACATTAGTGTAGCTAAAATGCTATATACAGCTAGCAATAAAAGATAAACAGAAACATAACTACTTTAATTAAAGTAGCAGCATTGACACATTTCCTTGGCAATACAATCGACCTAAAACGGTTACTGTAGCTTGGTGATATTTTACCAAGGCTTAAGATATAGGAGGATCTGGACAGACTTGAACACTGGGGGCTATCTAACAAAATGAAATTCAATGGTGAAAAGGTTCTACATTTAGGCAAGAAAAACCAAACATACAGGTATAGTATAGGTCAGTAGTGGCGAACCTATGGCACGGTGCCAGAGGCGGCACTCAGAGCCCTCTCTGTGGGCACGTGCATCATCGTCCCAGCCCTGCCTCCCCCACGGCCCCCTCCTCATCAGCGGCCCCCCCAGAGGAGAGTCACCCTTGAGCATGGCCCGCGTGGAGCAGTGCAGCCAAGGACATGGCAGCTGGGCAGCAGGGACATGACTCCACCCTTGCGCCCTGTTGCGTGCAGTTGATGCTGCGGGTCGCAGGTGGAAAGGGTGGCTGCCAGAGCACTGCTGGGTTGCTTGAGTGATCTGCGGCAGGTCGTAGAGGCGGTGGATGGCCCTGCAGATGGGGGTGGAGCTGGGGCGGAGCGGGAAGGGGTGGGGGTGGGCGGGGGTGGCAGGGAGGGGCCGGTTTTTGGGCACTCGGTCTCTAAAAGGTTCGCCATCACTGGTATAGGTGGTACCTTGCTCAGTAGTAACAATTGTGAGAGGGGTCTCAGTCCTAGTGGACAATCACTTAGATATGAGCCAGCAGTGTGCTGCAGCTGCCAAAAAAGCCAACACAGTGTTAGGCTGCATTAACAGAGGGATAGAATCAAGATTACGTGAAGTATTAATACCACTTTACAGTGCCTTGGTAAGGCCACACTTGGAATACTGCATCCAGTTTTGGTCACCACGATGTAAAAAAGATGTTGAGACTCTAGAAAGAGTACAGAGAAGAGCAACAAAGATGATTAGTGGACTGGAGGCTAAAACATATAAGGAACAGTTGCTGGAATTGGGTATGTCTAGTTTAATGAAGAGAAGGACGAGGGGGGACATGACAGCAGTGTTCCAATATCTCAGGGGCTGCCACAAAGAAGAGGCAGTCAAGCTATTCTCCAAAGCTCCTGAAGGCAGGACAAGAAGCAGTGGATGGAAACTAATCAAGGAGAGAAGCAACCTAGAACTAAGGAGAAATTTCCTGACAGTGAAGACAACCAGTGGAACAACCTGCCTCCAGATGTTGTGAATGCTCCAACACTGGAAGTTTTTAAGAAGAGACTGGACAGCCATTTGTCTGAAACGGTATACGGTTTCCTGCCTGAGCAGGGGGTTGGACTAGATGACCTCCAAGGTCCCTTCCAACTTTATATATATTTTTTATTATTATTATTATTATTATTATTATTATTATTATTATTATTATTATTATTATTTATTACCCAATGCTATACGTTGCAATAAATCAGTCCATGTAGGGCACGGGTGTCAAACTCACCACATCACGTGACGTGTCACAATGTATCGTGACTTTTTTTTCATTGCCAGACCTGGGGTGGGTGTGGCCTCCGTGGCAGTTTGACACCCCTGATGTAGGGTAATGATGGACTGTATTTGTAATGTCTGCTATGTCTCCTCCTTCCACCACCATAATATTCTCACCTGCAACTGCAGAAATCCTGTTGGGTCCTTAATACAAGTACAGTATTAAGCATGCATGCACAGCAGCGTTCTCTACAGATTGTTCAAATATTCTTGAATGAAAAACATGAATCATTTATAAAAATGATTGAAAAGTGGATGCACAAGGCATAGACATTTCAGTTTAAATAACAATCTCTAATGTTTACTTTAGAAGACATAATAGAAAATGCATTGGAGAAGATTAGTTTTGAGTACATTGTGAGATATTGCTTATATTAAGATAGATATTTTGTTAGGGATGGGAAGAGGAATTGCTTATTGGAAGTTACAGTAAATTCAGACAGAACAACTTTGTCACTTGCCTTCTTAAGTCAAGGAAAATGAATGTTGTTATATTTCCCATAACAATTGCCTATTTGTCTTGTGTGTTTGGAGCATGTTAATTGCCAGAATGCAAAAATCCTAAATTGACTATCAATTCTTTCCAATGGGAAAAAAGAAGCAAATAAAATATGCCTT